GGGGGGGCCCATGCCCCCTATAGCAAAAACCCCTAAAAAAAAAAAAAAAAGAGGAGAGAAAGACACAGAGAGTCCATGTGATGACAAGGGCAGAGACTGGAGTACTGCATCTAGACAAGGAGGACCAGGGATTGCCAGAAGCCACCAGAGGCTTAGAGTGCAGTATGGAATAGATGCTCCCTCAGAGCCTCCAAAAGGAACCAACTCTGCCCACACCCTGGTTTCAACCTTCTATCCTCTGTGAGAGAATACATTTTGGAGAGGTTTCCTTTTTTTCTTTTCTTTTCTTATTTTTTTTTTCTTTTTTTGCTATAGGGCACGTGTGCTCGCCAGACAGAGAGAGACAGAGAGTCAGAAAGCGAGAAATCACCCCCCAGTGAGGATGGCCACGCCGCAATCCCTTCTCCTCCATTCTCCTCCTGGGATCTTGGGCACGCATGCACACGCGCCCGGTGTGAGTTTAAGCCACCGGGTCTGGAACTCGAACCGCAGTCGACTATGTGGGAATCCAGCGACATAGCCATTACGCTAACTGCTGGTCCCAGAATACATTGCTTTTTAAACCATCATATTCATGATGATTTGTTAACAGCAGCCCTAGAAGATTGATACAGGTAACAACTCTTGATTTGTACAAACATTTATCTCTTTTGCCCTGTGTAACTTCTGGATCTTCCCTGCTGCAAGTAGAGATTATGGGCCATGGGCATCTGCATTACCTGGTAGTTCATCAGAAATGCAGGTTCTCCCAGGCCAGTTGAACTAGAATCTGTACTTTAATGCAGTTCTGGTGATTCGCATGCCCAGAAATGGAGAAGCCTTGATCTTGACTACCATTCCAGTCATTCACAAGCCCTGGTTATTCCTCACTTGTTTCCCTGACCCAGTCCATTCTCTGCTCTACACTGCCCTTTTTCCACTTCTTCCTGTTCTCCACTCTGCACTGCCCTTTCCTGCTCAATGCCCCTCCAACCCTAGGGGATGCCTCTCTTGGGCCTTCCTATTCTTTAATTCCCCACTGGGCTTGGCCATGGAGGGTTGAAGAAAAGGGTGGTTGGGTCCTTCTCCCATGCTCCCTCCACAACTCCAGTTCCTTCCAGGCAGTCCCTCCTCTCTGACTTCAGCACTCATAGACCCATGACTGGTGTCTTCCCATCCCTTTGGCTCAGGGATAGTAATGGCTCCTGTGTTGCCAGTCTCTGGTGCCTCAGCACCCTGTTGCTCTCTCTCTCTTTAATTTTCTAGAGGGTGCATGTTCTTGCAAGAGAGAGAGAAAGAGAGAGAGAGAGAGAGAGAGAGAGAGAGACATGCCCAGGTCCCCCCCCCTCCCCAATGGAGATGGCCATGCCTCGATCCATCAGAAGTCTCCCCCCCCCCCAATGGAGATGGCCATGCCTCGATCCATTTTCCTCTGTTCACCTCTTAAGATTTTGGACATGCACACACACACATGCCCAGCATGTTTTTCAAGCCACTAGGTTGGTTACTCAAACTGTGCAGTCAGTCATGCAGGATCCAGCTGCCTTAACCACCATGCCATAGGATGTCTCCCCTATTGTTCTCTTAACCCTCCCTTGACTATCAAAACTAGTCCTCTCATTAATGACTTGCCATTGAAACCATCTGGGATGATTTTGTCTCCTGCCAGGACCATGACCACAGCTGGGCACCAGCGTCAGTTCTGGGCAAGCACTTGCAGAATGCTCAGCCTTCCAGTGATAGGAAAATGCCCTATCTTAATGACTGGTTATTAGAGCTGGCAAACAACTCATCCTTGAATGTAAACCAATCAATCCAGAATCCACACCTCGACCAGCCCTTCTGCAGGGCTCTCACACTATGGGTCACTTTCCATCTGCCCTAATCACTCCAGGGCCAGGTACTAGACAACTAGTCACAGCCCTATGACCTGGACCCCCTGAAATTGTTTAAACTGACCAATTATGAACCTTTTAACCCTACCTTTCCTGTTCCTTCCCATGGAAACCACAATAAAGGGCCTTTCCCGCCTCCTTCTCCACTCCCTCCTGACCAACCCCAATGTTTCTTCTATGGCCCTGCATGGAATGCTGTGCCCCTTTCTCTTGGGAACAGTGAGTAATAAGCTATCTTTTCAATGGCAGGTGTCTCCTGATTTGCTGGCTTCACTATAACTTATGTTTTCTCTTTGTATGCTATATTTAAAACACCCATCCCTGCATCCAGTCTGTATCCTGCTTCCATGAACACCACTGAACTAAGGAGTCCCAGCAGAAAGTGAACTGAGCCAGCCCCTCTCAGGCCTATTATATTCTTTATTACTGATTGTTTTCTCCTCAACTTAGTCCCAGGGACTCAGCAATAACTAGTCCTTTTCCAGCTGTTCACAGTCCAGCACTATTTTTCCCTGCAGGCAAGCAGGCAAGGCTGTGTTCACAGGTCCATGGGGATGGATACCTGAGCAGATGTGGCTCCACCAGCTTCTTCCAGTCGGTCACTAAGGTCTTCGAGGTCCCGGGACAGGTCACTGCGTTGTTTCTCCACCTGGAGTGAGATTGAATAATAATGATGGAAGCCACCCAGGGATCCTCTTTCTCTAGTATAAAATGTGGTAGTCACATCATGTCTCAGAGGTTGTTGGGGGTCTACACTTAGGAAGCCTTGCACCCTGCCTGCATCCTGCATGCTCAGTGAAGGACTCTGCTTCTCCCCATGCAGGGTGAACGCTGATGCTTATTCTACTCTTTAGCCCCACTTGGTTGACATTGGAGTTTAGGCATGTTTCTGGTCTCATCTCCATTCGGATCCCCTCCTCAAGAACTCCCTTCACTCTTTGCTGTTTCTAACACATATTTTCTCCTTTTATACGTTTGCACTTGTGAGAGTAGGTGCTATTTAAGTGCTATTTTACTCCTTTTGCCTCAAAATTCCCCCTACATCAGCCTGTTGAATTAATTTTGAGGTCAGGTGTTTCTTCCTCCATATGCCCCTGAAAGAACTTGCCACTCCTCTGGACTCAGCGGAGATAGCATTTTTGTGTTTACATCACCATTGATGTGATTTTGCAGTACAGTGCCTAGCACTCGGTAGGTACTCAAACAACAACTATACATTTTAACTAGACAGCTGTCCCATCAGTTGGTTTCCTCAGAGGGAGTTTCTACTTGTGGCTGGGGATGTGGCTGGGCGCCC